TAAAACTTGGTCAGATACATCAAGAGAGGTCTGTTTGGTACCCACACTGTTAAAAAAAAGTCATTTCAATAGGCCTCAGTGTATTTGTTAAATTAGTAAGTCATACAGGGTTGCAACTATTTTTACTAGTATGAGTCAATATTAGTCATGTTAATTGGTCAGACACTTGTCCAAAGACAGTCAGTTTTTTCTTGTTTTGACCACAGTGTAATGTTTTTTAGTTCATGGTCATCCTAACCAAATTGTTCCTCTCCACAAGTAACGGTCAAATCAGAAAGTAATATGTGAAGAATGATTCCCGCTCGACCTCAATGTTGTATGGTGTTCCACAGGGCTCAATTTTGCGGCCCTTGCTGTTTTCATTGTATTTGTTGTCTCTGGGTTCCATTTTACGAAAGCACGGTATTTCATTTTACAACACGTGAGAGACGAGTGTTCAAGAGTGTTAATGGATTTGTTGTCACACTATTTTCACCACTTTCACCACAATGCATAAAAATTCAGACGACATCTAAAACCTTTTTCTCTCTGCAGCCTGTCAGCCACGATAGCACAACATTCGGTGTCGGCATCGTTTCCGGTCTGCAGCTGACAATAATTTTGCCCCCTTTATGTTGACGAGTTATTCTCTTTAATTCTTATTTCACAAGTACTATTAATCTGAGTTTTGTTTGTGCTGCAATATCTAATGTATTGTACCCCTTGAAATGATACTTGAATCAGGAAGTAAAAAACATAACAGGAAGTGATGGGCAGGAAGCGAGATGGTAAAAAGTGATGGTCAGGAGGAAATGATTGAGAGTTTAGGAAGTGCTGGTCAGGGGCATGAACTGGCTCTCAGAAGCGGGAGACTGGAAATGACCTATGACCATTGCAGTCAATGAAGTGGGGAGACAAAGTAGGCGAAGCGTAGGTAGGGTTTGGGAGAAGGGTTCGAGGCAGAGTGTAGGGGGATGATCAGTGGGGTATGCTCAATGCCGTGTGACAGGTCCAGCTGGGAGAGCGTCCCCCCGCAATCCCTCCTTCCCCCCAGCACTGCAAACTGGTCAATATGGAGGCCAATTACTGCTGCCCATGTGACCACGAGGGCATCATCCAAACCTATCATAACGGACCCACGCGCACGCCATCTGTGCAGACCAGCAACCAAAGCCCGCCCCTCACCCAGCCATCTCATCCAGTTGTGTCCCTGTGCACGCTCCTACTTAACCTCCTAAACTGAGGCCAGACGCCCCCACCCCTGCACTGACCCCACACCTCCACGTCACACTGCATTCCGTGAGGATGAGGACGAGGATGAAGAGCAAGGTGCTCATTCGTCAAGAAATGAAAAGACCGTTTTGGTTGCCCTCGTGCATGCACATCTGCCAGATGTTGCCCCTCCGCCTCCCCCCAATGTTCCTGGCCACCCGCCAAAAAGACCCCCTTCACCCCCTCCCCGTCCTGGAATCTCTCCCTGGAGCAGGACCCTCAGCTCTTCATCTTCTTCTTCTTCACTTGAGTGTGCGCAAACACGCAGATGTTGCGGAATGTCATCTGCATCATCATCCTCCTCATCATCAGTTTGTGCACTTTTTTCCCCCTCTTTATTTATTGGTGCATTTTTTTTTGGGGGGGGGGTCCTTGACATATTGCTAATATGCAAGTCGACAGTGGTGCCACCAAAAACGGTTGGTTCAAAAATAACCCAAATTGGGTCAAAAAAGGAATTGACCCCACTTTTGGGATTAAATGAATAACTCACAAATTAACACCAAAAATGGGATTGTACTAAACAAAACAACCAAAAATATTGGTGATCTATTTGACCCAATTTTGGGATGGGCGAAACACATAACCCAAAAAGTTGGGTGAGTCCCTCTTTGAGCCAGTTGAGGTTTTTCTTGACCTAACTGTTTTTAGTCTTGAGATACGGGTGACTCAATTGAAATTTTCAAGATACAAGATGCCATTCTGGTTTGTTATTTTGTTGTTGTTGTTTTTTTTTTGGGGGGGGGGCTAGAATGGATTCATGGCATTTCCATTCTTCTTGATGGCAAAAGATGATTTGAGATGCTTTTTGAGCTCCCCAGAACAAATTCAACTTGGATTTCAAGTTACCACTGTATTTTTATTATTCATTCCATCCTTACTATACTTCATTGTTCTTACTAAGAATATTGCAGAAGAGCACACACACACACACACACACACACACACACACACACACACACACACACACACTTGTATGTATTTATTTATTAATTATCTGGTCTTCTGGTGGCTAATTGGACTTCACACCATTGTACTTGTGACATTTTGCTCATGGCCATGTCGGACAAACACACTCTCAAGTTTGAGTGAGAAAGAGAGTGGGCCGGCTGCACGGTACATGATAATTTAAACAGCGAGATCACTCACACACACACACACACACACACACACACACACACACACACACACACACACACGCACGGTGTCACTGCAACTTTAAGCTAGAGTTTATTCACGAGAGGAAAAAAAAACAACATGCAGCAAAATCAAAAAGAAGAAGAAAGAAAGACTTGTGCTTGTGATACTGTGGGGTGGAAATATAAAAATAGAAAATACGTGGAAACAAGACTTCAGTGTGCAGGATGAAAATACAAATCGGAATATTTCTAAATGCCGCATGTGCACTCGCTGTTGGATAATGAACAGATGCTTATCTCCCCCCCCCCCCCAAAAAAAAAATTCTGCAAGGAGACATGGATGATGGAACCCCCCTCCTAGCACTCCCGCTTTGGCCCGCGAACCGCCGCTGCCACTGCGGGGGAACATTAAGGGACTTGGCTCGGTGTACTGCCTAGATCTCTCTCTCTCTCACACACACTCACACACACACGCACACGCACCCGCACACGCACACACTGGACTGCGAAGGCTGTACCTCTCCGCACAAATAAGGCCTAGACGTGCACAAAACAGGAATATATCAATTTAAACTAGAAAATTGAACAACATTAAAAGCAATATAACCGTTATATGTTTGCGGAATCTTTTTTTTTTAAAACAGCGGCAATGAAAGGGCAGCATCGAAATGTTGTGATTCCTCCTCGCCTATTCGCCCTTAACGATTTACCATATAGAATGTTCAAACTATATTGCGTTGTCATCAATATAAATAGAACGTATGCATTTTGTTTTATGTGGGGAGGGGGGAGGCCTTGTAATGAACATTTCCGGGATTAAAATGAAATGCATGTAGTTGATGTGCAAAAATAGAATAAAATGCATCAAATAAAATTAGGGATAAATTTGACAGTTTTGCCTAATAATGTTTTAAAATCGGCGCTAGTTGCACAACCGCAAAGGTGAGTTTGCTGCGTTCAAAGGATCGAAGCGGGCCTTTGTAAGGCCGTACTCCATTCAATTCGCGGGTGGTCACGATGAAACGGCACTTTTATTTTATTTTTTTTGCAGGGAGGGGCGACATATGGGTCCTGAGGCACCGGTCCAAACCCAGTTGACGTGGCAACGGATGCACCAGATTGTCTATTATATTTTGTGTTTTGTGTGTGTGTTTTTGTGTGTGTGTGATGATACAGTAGAAGGTTGGCTTCTCCAGTGACGTTTTCTGAACTTGTAAATTATTGTAAATCAATGAAAATTCCAAAATCGATGTTATATTTGTGAAATGTAACCACTGCTTCTTTTTGTTCCGATCGTTGAAATTTAATAATGCTCATTGAAAGTTAAAAAAAAAAAGTATAGGCCTACACAAAATGGCGGAATTTAATTAACCAACAACACAATCTTAAAATAACGCATGTGACATACATCGAAAATATTACAGAAAAAATATGCGTTTGTTTTCCAAATTACCCGGTTGACCTTGAACGCATCACTGGCCACTATAAATGAGCCCCTTTGTAAATCCACCATGATTTTTTTCCGCGTGAAATAAGACGCGTGCGCGCGGGCACACGCAGATTTGTATTTTTAAACGACTGTTTTGTAAAATATTACGATATCTGGCACGCGTGACGATCTCGCTCACTTTTGGCGCCGAGTTACCTCGCGCGGGGAGCAGAACAATGCCAACGCGGGGGAAGGAGGGTCTCATGCACGAATCGCTTCATTAAAAATCTGATCGAAGTGAGGGGAAATATGATGCGAGTGAGCAATAACGGCAATAAATCAAGTTGCGCAAGCTCATAGTTGATCATTTTATTGTATTTTTTTTTTCTTATGCCACACAGTTTGGTTGAATACAAAGTTTAAAGACTGGATGGGAAAATTAATAAATAAGCACACGGAGGATCCCTTCATTTCCATTCACGATACATTTCAACAATAGGGGGGAACACAATAATAAATAGACGTGCAGCAGCAATAATAAATAATTTCTGAAGTGAAAATGGGAAAGATTGGGTGTAACGGGTCAGTTCAAGAAGGATCAAGAATAAACGACAGGAGGAGAAATGAGGAAACGATTTTTTTTTTGTGTGTCTGCTTTTGCATAGATGCCAAATAACAGATTTGAGCAAAGGAAAGAAAAAAAAACAGCCCTCAAAGCTGTTTGATCATTTAATGAACATGAAAGAAAAGGGAATTAAAAAAATCACACATCACCTCCTGCAAATATTCATGTAGTGTACGATTCTCCAGTGGCCAAGTGGCAAATAAACAATATAAACGATCACCAACACAAATACAAAGTATTTTATTTCTCTTTGAAACGGGGCTGCAGCTCTTGATTATTTTTATCATCGATTATTCTCTTGATTAATCAATGACTTGGGGAAAAAAAAGTATAAAAACCAAACCAATAACTGAATCCGAATTAACTTGTGCACTTTCGACTTCAAGTAATGTCCTGTTTGTGATTAAAAGTGTGGCCTTTTATTTTGGTCTGTAATGATTCAGAAAGTCGGCAAAAATGTCGATCACTTTTGTCCAAAGTAAAGGCAAATGTTTCGTTTTGATTCAACACAAAGCTAATAGACTATCACTGCCTATTCAAAAAACTCAAAAAAAAAAAATACCTGCGTGAACTCAAAATTTCAAGGCAACAAACTTCAATACGATTTTAAGATGGCCAACTCAGCAAAATATTTTTTAATTTTGATGAAGTTTTACTTTTGTGAAAATTGGCTTTCCTGCATTTAATAACAAAAATATGAAAGTTTACAGAACGGTTGTGAAAGGTAAAACAACTCAGCACAATGTGCTTGCTTTGATGTGCTAACATTGTTGTCATAAACGTCAATAATTTGTATTTTTAAGTTATTCCAACTTGTTTCGAAACATATAAGAAATACAAGTTTCATTTGTTACAGTGTACAGAAATCTCAGAATGTTTACCGTTGAGAGGCGAAAATTCTGGGCATCAGGACAATTTTAAATAAAAAAAAGCCATCTAAACGAGTAATCGAATCCTTTTAAAATAACGATTAATCGGATATTCGATTGGTCGTCGATTAATCGTTTTACATCTCGTTTGAAAATAAAAGTGCACATTACACATCTCCGTGTCGAGTGGTGGCGCATGTTTTCACGAATCATTTCCCTGACGATTCCAAACAACAAGAAAAGAAAAAAAGTCAAATTAATGAAGCGTGAGTTAAGATTGTGGGCAGCAAGGGGGCGCTCTATCGCTCGGGTTTAGTTGTGGAAAAAGGCATTAAGTTCGTCGTAGGCGGGCGCGCGCTCGTGGTGCAAGTGCATGTCGTGGTAAGGCAGAACGTTTTCCGAATGAATGGCGCCGCGTGCCCCCGAGGAGCCGAACACCAGGTTGTGGGCGCCGCCCCCGCCGGCCCTGGAGCCGGGCAGGCCCGAGTAGTGCATAGAGTAGTGGTACGCCTTGTCGTGGTCGGGTGACGCCGCGCCTTGGTGCTTGAGGGCAAAGTTCCCGTTGACACACAGCGGCGGGCTGAGGGGCCCCTCATACTCGGGGCTGTTGTACTCCGGGGAGCCGCCGCCGCCGCCATAAGCCGAGTCGTACGCGGGGCAGTAGCCATGCGAGCCTAGCGGGTGCGAGTTCGAGCCCTGGCGGCAGTGCGGGCTGGACAGTCGGGCGCACTGGTATGGGTACGAGTGCATGGCGAAGGAGCCCGAGCCGTAGCGCGCCCCCTCAGGACACTGCTGCTCGGTCAGGAAGTTTCGCGAGTTGAGCTGCAGGCAGCCGGCCACCAGGTTGGTGGTGGGCTGCGAGAGACCCTTGCACAAGGTCTGGACATAGGACACCAGGTCCGGCCGCTTGCCCGAGCGCAGGATCTCCGACAAGGCCCAGATGTAGTTCTTGGCCAGGCGCAGCGTCTCGATTTTGGAGAGTTTCTGCGTCTTGGAGTAGCAAGGCACCACCTTGCGCAGGTTGTCCAGCGCCGAATTGAGGTCGTGCATGCGGGTGCGCTCGCGGGCGTTAGCCTTGATGCGGCGCATCTTGGAGCGCTCGATGCGGGCCTGCGTCATCTTGCGCTTCTTGGGGCCCCGCTTCTTGGGGCGCTCGCCCTCCGTGTCGTCACCGTCGCACTCATCGTCCTCGGCACCATCGTCCTCATCCTCATCGTCCTCATCCTCGCCGGCGTGCTCAGAGTGCGTCCGGCTCCCGCCCCGCAGTTCGGAGGAGGCGTCCATGTTATCCCGCGTGTCGCCGTCGTCCTCTTTGATCTTTTCGTCGTCGCTGTCGTCCGCCCAGCCCGAATATTTCTGCACGTCGGGGAGCAGTGAGGGATCGTTGAAAAGCCTTGTCAACATTTTGCCTCTGGGAGAGAAGGGAAAAGGAACACAAGCTATTAAATCGTAATCGCAATACCAAGGGAAAAAAAAGATCGCAATAATTTTTAAAAATACTTCATTCCTACCTTGAATGCATCAGACATTTTTGTTTCTGATTCACACGACAATAATTCATTGTACATTTGCATTTAACTAATTGCGAATTTTTAACTTTTCCTGTTAGCCACTAAATCACCTTCGGTATTTCAGCACTTTGTGAAATGCCCCCAAATGCCACAAGGTGGCGCCAAAGTGTCATTGAAATAGGAAATTATGAGTTTTTCCAGGGAACTATGTTGAAATGATGCATCTCGACTGTGAGACAATCTTTGTATGTTGGGGCGGGGGGGGGGGGCTATGTTTAGGCTGGGTTGTTATGGAGAGTCTTCACCGAAAGTGTACATTTTTGTCAATTGTCAATATAAGCAATTAAAAAATAAGTTTCAGGGGCGACATTTTGAATTATTTGTGGGTTTAAAGGGGGGGTGGGTATTCTGCAAATATGCTCACTCCCTGACTGCCCATTTTTTTCTGTTTTTCTTTTTCAGGTGCAAATGGCAAATGTACAATTACGTTTTGCTGAAAGAAAACTAGAAGGTGCTATCCGGAAGTACAACACATCACAGAGGAAGGCAAGTTTTCCAAAGCAGAAGAAGATGACAGATTCCCTGAGCTCCACCATTACGACAGGTGCACCTTCGCTGGCATCAGAGCTATGTTTGAAGCAGATTCTTCAATTTGCGATCTTGGCTCTCCAGCAGCATTGATGTATTTTTATGTCTGCAGTAATTTAATATGGAACAACTTTAAAGTATAAATTGTTGACATTTGGGGCTACAATGTTCGCACAACAAAGCAAGCAAGTTGTTTCCTCCAGCACAATTTGCCGAGCTGTTTTTACTTATATCTTTAAATTGGAAGGGGGTGGGAGGCATTGCGAGGGACAACCGTTCTGTAAACTCTTATTTCTTTGTTGCGATATGCGGGAAATGCTATTTTCAAAACCGAGTCCATATTTGAGACACACCGTAAATTAAGTATTTGTTTTTACACATTGTACTCTGGTAAGAGTGGGGGCAAGTGGGGAGCGGGGTGGGGGTAAAGGGGGCACACTACAGGTCCCATGAGGGGGTGAGAAAGGGAAGAGGGAGGCCGGGCCGCCCACATCCACTCCTGGCTGCATTCCAACACTATTCATCCCGAACACATCTTGTCACAGGACGACAGAAGGACCACCACCACCCCCCCCCCACACCAAAAAATGAAAATCCTAATCTAATTGGGTGTATTGCCTCCTGTAAAATGACTCTAAATATTACATTCATGCTGCAAAATTACATTATTGAATTAAAACAAATCAATAATGTAATCACAATAAGCAAAAATAATTTCAGTGCTTTAATTTTCATCTTGTTTTTAAATTGTGAACCTTCCTGTTCTGTTTTTTTTTTTTTTGGTACACATTTTGTGAATATTGAAAAATCACGTGGTATAAAAGCAACGCGTTTTACATAAAATTTTAGATTTTCAATGTTGATTTTGCAATCTATTTTTTTGCCATTTGGATAATATGAAGTATTGAAATTGGAAAGGAAACCCAAAAAAGGGTGTGTGACCCACGGATAACGTAATAGTCTGCCTCTCCCCCCCAAAAGTGTATAAATTGGATATTTTTACATTACACCCCCCTTTAACATACAATGTACATTTAAAAAAATATTTCGCAAATATAGAAGTAGAAGGAAATACAAAGGCCATTTGTTTTTAACTTAAAAACGGGCCCACTGACCTCAGCAAGAAAATGCATAAAATAAATAACAGTGTTACAATTTAGCCTTCACCATATGATTAATTGATTCCAAAAAATGTATTTTACAGCTCTGCAAAAATGTAAGGCGGTCGAACACTTTTGGGTAATTATCTTTACGTGTGTGTGTGTGTGTGTAAGTGTGTGTGTGTGTGTGTGTGTGTGTGAGCACGCCAGGGGCAAAATCTACTTTTAAAACCACACACTCGCGTCTGTTTTCGTCGCGGCAATTAGAAGCAAAAACAATTAACAGGCCAAGCATGCAAAAACATGAAATTGATTTCACTGCACGCATGCGTACGCCTTTACAGATGGACACATGCTTGTCGGGCTTTTAGGGCTCGTGAAATATATAATAGTGGGCCGTGGGCTGTGATTTAATGAAGGACCCGAGACGTGGGTGTACTTTCAAGGAGCCGGTGAACGATGCAAATACATTGTCAGAGAAAAATCTATCATTTCACAATCAAAACTATTGCGTTGATATGAACGTTAATGACGTTTGATAGATTCATTTACAAATCATGTCAACAAACGAAAACATGATTTGTAAATCATCAAATCTGTAAATTTCACTGCATACTGAGTCCGTATTAATTAGCCGGAGCCTTGTTCTAATCGAAAACTGCCCATTTAAAACGCATCCAGACGGAACGTAACGCGTGCTGGGTGTTTATTAAATGAACGACAAAAGCAGTCCGTCATTTTAGAGAAAAACAACATCGCTTACCCATCGACATGAATTAACCTGATGTCATTAGAGAGAAGTGGCGATTCAGCTAGTATCCATCCGCACAAAACACGTTGAACGCACGCGAATTGATTCCATTGATTCCCCCCAAAAAAGGTGCGTTCGAGAGCATCCGTAAAACGCAATATTGTCTCTCCCCGGCGTTCGCTCGCAAACTCACCTGCGCTTGAGCTCTTCTCGCGGGATGGGAGGGGAGGGGGTGGGGGCCCAGTAGCCAAGAAAAAAAGGAAGGGGTGGGGTCGCTTTTTTTTTTTCTTTTTTTTCTTTCAGACCACCATCTTCAGGGACCGGAGCGGCATGGTCGCTCCGCGTCGGCGTGCAGGTGCATACGGCGCGCGGGCTCTTCCTTCACTGGGTGCCTCGGCCCCCCTTCCTCCGCCCCCTCCGCGAGAAAGGGTGAGCACAAGAAAGAGAGAGAATGAGGGAGAGAAAGAGAGAGAAGAGAGGAAGGTTACGTAGCAGCTATAAGGCTGCGATGCCAGCGCCCATATGGCTGCACGTCACTGGCAAGAGCCATCACATGAGGGGTCGGCTGATTGACATGCGCCCGCATTCGGAGGGATCTGGCCTCCCTGGAGGGGTGGAGCGAGAGGGATGGAGAGACATAGACGGAGAGCAAGAGAGTGAGGAGGAGGAATAGGAGGGCTTCGCCATCTGTCGCCACACTAGTGCGCACAAAGGCAGCAGAAAAACAAAACAAAACACACACACACACATAAACCTACACTGTAAACCCGAATTAGTGAGCAGAACTCAAAAAAAGTGAGGCAATAAATTGCCTCTTTTTTTTTTTTTGGGAGTTGGTGAACTCAAAAGTTCTCGTTCTCTGAACTTCAGTGTTTCGATTAGGTTCAACTTATATTTTTTGATATAGTTACTCAAAAACTTTCAGTTAGAGCAACTCAATTGTTCTATGCTACTTACTTATAAATGTTAGTTTTCAAAATTTTATTTATGAAGTGAACGGAACAATCTCTAATTGCCTCACTTTTTTTTGAGTTTGTGAACTCAAAAGTTCTCGTTCTCTGAACTTCAAGGTTTCGATTAGGTCCAACTTATATTTTTTGAGATGGTCACTCAGAAGCTTTCAGTTAGAGCAACTCAATTGTTTCTATGTTACTTATAAATGTCAGTTTTCAAAACTTATTTTATTAAGTAAGCTGTACTCAAATCTTTTAATTAATTTGAACATTCGGGTTTACAGTGTACAATCAAATAAAATGGTGGAGCACCCAAAAAAAAAAAAATGTTCGACTGAACCTCCTTTAAACTAAGGTCTTTATTATTACACAGGTCACCCTTATTATGGATAGTATATGCATTGCATGGCTAACCGCATTAAGCAGATCACCCGCTATTAAATCATATTAACACAAGCGATTAATCAGTTTAGCGTCCGCATAAGACTGTAGGCGGCTTATCGTACAATTACATCAATTAAGTGGAGAAGGTGCAGCCTGCCACACTGCGGGCCACTGGTGGGTGGAGGTGGGGGGAGGTTTGGGAGAATGCATTAGAAGCGCATTAAGGCCGCCCGAGCAGAAGGCATATTGTTTATTTATTTACCTAATTGGATCCAATGATGCCATGCGGAAGCCTCGGTCGGCGTTTTGTTTTCGTTGACCCATTTGAGGGGAAAAGCTCTGGAAAAAAAGGGCAAGTGACCTTACCTTACTGTGAATTCGGGAGGGAGGAGGGGTGTCGTGGAATTCAAGAGTTATTCCGCCATTTTGTGCTCTTCTGGGAAGATTTTTGGGGTGGTGAGATCACCGAGAGAGATTTATGTTCTTCCACACCGAACTCTTCCGATGGCAAATTGGCTCCCTAGGAATATACAGGAAGGGCTGCTGTTTTGGTTAGCAGGCCACTCGCTGTTAAGACTTTCATTCTGGCAAGGAAGCCATGAGCTCCAAGACGCTACACTTGAAACTGGCAAGTTGTTGCTGTTTTTCGTTAGCAAATCGGCTCAGCAATTCACTATTTCAGGTTTAAGTGAACTATAGTCAGTCTTTTTTTTTTTTTAAACAACTTCACTTCCATTTCTCTACCGTTTAATGGTGTCTCACGTGCTGAGGTGATGATACGGGCCGCAGGTGTGCCAATCGTGAAGGAGGGGCACGTCTCCGTGTGAGGGAGAGTTGGCACGGGGTGGCACCCTGGCTGGCCCCCTTCGCCTCCTGAGCGCCCATTTTTTGTCCGTCCCTGCACTGAGATCTCTATTTAGTGTGTATTAGTGGAGCTAATGCGGGAGAAATGAGCTCTATGACCGCCTCGTCCAATTTGGCTGGCGAAGAGTGTGTCGTCAGGCCGAGGGAGGCGGTGACATGGCGGCGATACAAGCTAGTTGCATCGCCCCTGTGTGTGTGTGTGTGTGTGTGTGTGTGTGTGT